TCGGATGTGTAGTTTACAAGATCACTCGCGGACAAAATTTTCCCAGGAAGAAAAATAATAATAATAATAAGAATAATAATAACTAGTGCTAATTGTAACGGGGACCGTTACAGATGTTCCCCAAACGCTCCCCAACTCTCCTTTTGTGCCATATTACCTGTAAGCTTCATTAAATAAGACAAACTCTATGTATTTGAGACTTAAACAACATGTACCCGGAAGTGTACGAAGTTCATTCAAATTTTAGCATTGCATTTAGCATGACCATATCATTTTGTCTACACAATCCATATACTTTAATATACTAAAAATTAAAGTATTTTATCCAAAAGTAATAAAAAATACGCTCATTCAAGTGTATTTTTGATTTTGTTCATTTCACGTGCACGCACGTGCATACATAAGCACGGTGACCATACCTTCTTGTAGAAGTCCATTACATCTATCTATGTTCTAAATCCCACCCCATATGGTTGAAAACCAAGGGCGTTATACCTGTTAAAAGTTTCAGCCAATCAGATTGCAGCGCACGTACACGCACGTGTATGCATGTGCATGGTGACCATACCTTTCTTGTAGTAGTCTATTATATCTATCTATGTTCCAAATCCCATCCTGTTTGGTTGGAAACCAAAGGAGTTATAACTGTTTAAAGTTTCAGCCAATCAGATTGCAGCGCACGTACACGCATGTGTATCCATGTGCATGTTGACCATACTTTTTTGTAGTGGTTCATTATATCTATCTATGTTTCAAATCCCATCCTCTTTGGTTGAAAACCAAATGAGTTATAGCTATTTAAAGTTTAAGCCAATCAGATTGCAGCGCACGTGCATGCACGTGTTTTCATGATAATTGCTGTATATAATATTGTAGGATATCCTAATGCATGGCTATGTTTAAAATTTCAAAGCATTTCATCAAGAAACAAAAAAGATATTGAGATTTTTGTTTCAGCCAATCAGAGTGCAGCGCACGTGCATGCGCGTGAGATCTTGCTATTTTGACCATGTCATATTGTCTATGCTACAAATGTATCCTTATATTATGAGTTCTAAAGCATTTCATCAAAAATTTAAAAAGTTACATCTATATCAATTAAATCTGTCATTTATCATGTTGCACGTGCGCGCTCTTGAAAGCACGTGCGCGCAAAATGACCTTCGTTCCGCAAATCTACATTACATGTCTACTGACCCTAAAAACATTTCACCTTAGTCTGATGTGTAGTTTACAAGATCACTCGCGGACAAAATTTTCCCAGGAAGAAAAATAATAAGAATAACTAGATGTGAAACTCGTTGCGAGCAACGAGAGGTCTTCCGTCCCTTTCCGGAAAGAAAACTTAAAATCGAGCTGAAAAAGTAAAAAAAAGATTTGCCTACAAGAGGGATTGAACACATTAGTCGCCAGCATGAAATTCCAACACACTAAATATTACGCTATCGGGACCTCTACTCTAAATCTACTTGTATATATCAACAAAACAGTGCTTCTCTCTTAAAAAGAAAGGCGGGTCACTATTCAAAATATAGCGCCAAACGCCACGATTTTAAAAAAAAAAGAACGTTCTTATAGCGTAACATTCGAGGTTTAGAAAGTATATTTAACTCATTTTACAAATTCCATATTGTTTTATATATGCATGTAACACTAAAGCGGTGAAACAGTTATGAATTTTAAACTTTTTTCAATTTCCTGTTCATCCCCAAAGTGAACTATCCTGATTAGTTAATCAAAATAGGTTGAAACGTTTCGCCGAAAAATCTGGCTCGCCCTACGACGGTCAAGGAATCAAATATCATTTATGCTCAATAACTTGAATCAGGTCTTTGAGACAAGAATGCTTGAATAAACTCCATGAAGCCATCTTTTAAAAAAAAGTTTTCTTATTTTTGTCTTATTCATTAGTTTAATATGACACAAGTGTGCATAGGAAAACAGTGGTTAAGATTTATACTTACAATATTCATTGATATTCTTTTTTGAGACAGTATAACTTATAAGTACGATTTAAGATCTGTTTTTCCGTGGTGCACAAAAGATATTAGGTATCGAATTTCATCTGCACATTTAGTCTTTTCTTTTTTTATTTTGAAAACCAGCCAAAACCAATTAGAGAAGACGTTAGCTTGACACAGAACTGCAACGTCACTACGACGTGACAATCCAAGTATTCCTTTACATTTCATTTATCCTGTTGTTACTTTCATTCAAGCAAACGCTCGGCTGCCTCCGAAAACCCCTATTGCGAAATGTCGACGTTGACTGAGACAGCCGCCATTTTGGACCCGCTTCAGATTTTTGAATGCTAATATCTAGAGTTTAGATTTATCAACATTCAAAAAAATTATATAGTAAGCATTATAGGGAGAGTTTCTATTAATATACCAAAAATAAATGGGAAATATTGAAAAACAAAAAAGTTAGAAAATACAATTTTTTTAAATTCGCATGCCGTAACGACCGGAAGAACTGACGACGCACAAAAAGGTGATTCTGCAAACCACAAAGTCACGAACTATCGTCTCCAATAAGTCTCCAGGTCATATCTTTAGCCATTTACGATAAAAAGGGGCGACAAAATTGCATTTTAAAATCAGAAAATTGCCCATAACTTGGCACCAGAAGCGAATTTCCAAATTTCCTTAAAAATGTATCAAGTTCATCTTATTGCGCATAATTCCTGAAAATTTCATAAGAATCCGCCGAACAGTTGCTGAGAAATCGCGTGCACAAAATTTTGGGAAAAAAAATAAGAATAATAATAATAATAACTAGAAAAGAAACTCGTTGCGAGCAACGAGAGGTCTTCCGTCTGATTCTAAAAAAAATTCCGCAAAATCGAGCTGAAAAAAGTGATCAAACTTCTTATGGAAACAAATGGGATTAAACCCGAATTGCCAGCGTGAAAATGCAATGCGCTTACTATTACGCTATTGGGACCACAGCTCTAAATGTATTTATGTATACTTCTGCTACAGTACATCTGTCTTAGAATAATGAAAGGTGAATCACTATTCTTAATTTTGCGTCAAACGCCACGAGTATATCTTTGCACCTTTTCTTTGGAATGTTCCTTTTAATAGGTGTGATAGCTTCAATGAAAAGAAAAAAAGAACGTTCTTATAGCTAAAATATCAAGGTGAAGACAGTATAATTAACACATTTTACAAATTTCATATTGTATATAAGCAAGTAACACTAAAGCAGAGAAACTGTTATCCTAAGTGAACTATCCCGATTAGCTAAGCTTTCATGAAAAGGTTGAAATGTTTTGCCGAAAAACATGTGTCGCCCGAAGACAGTCAATGAATCGGATACAATTTATGCTCAATAACTTGAATCAGATCTTGGAGACAAGAATGTTAATATAAACTTCATTTAGCGATCATTTAAAAAACGGTTATCTTATTTCGTCTTTTCTATTATTTTCATATGACACAAGTGTGCATGGGAAAAACAGATTGTAATTTTTATACATACTATATTCATTGATATTGTTTCTAGAAAAACTATTACTTATAACTATGATTTAAGATCTATTTTCACGTGTTGCAAATCAGAAGGTACCGGTATTAGGTATCGAATTTCATTTTCACATTTAGTCTTTTCTATTTCTACTTTGAGAACCAGCCAAAACCAATTATAGAAGACATTTAAGAAGAACATAGTTTGATACAGAATTGCAACGTAAATACGACGGGACAATCCAAGTATTCCTTTACATTTTATTTTTCCTTGTCTTACTTTCGTGCAAGCAAACGCTCGGCTGACTCAGTAAACCCCTATTGCGAAATGTCAGAGTTGACAGAGACAGCCGCCATCTTGGACCCGCTTCAGATTTTTAAAAGCTAATATCTAGAGTTTCGATTTATCAATATTCAAACAAATTATATAGTGAGCATTATCAGAAAGATTTCTATTAACATACCAAAAATGAATGAAAAATATTGAAAAACAAAAAAAGTTAGAAAATACTATTTTTTAAATTTGCATATCGTAACGAGCGGAAGTATTGACGACGCACGAAAAGGTAATTCTGCAAATAAGAAAGTCACGAACTATCGTCTCCATTAAGTCTCCAGTTCATATCTTTAGTCATTTTCGAGAAAAAGGGGCGACAAAATTGCATTTTAAAATCAGGAAATTGTCCATAACTTGGCACCGGAAGCGAATTTTCCAAAAAGCGGAATTTTATATAAAATTCATATAATGACGCATAATTCCTGAAAATTTCATTGAAAACGGCTGAATAGTTCTCGAGAAATCGCCTGCACAAAATTTTGGTCAAAAAAAGAATAATAATAAGAAACAGTACAATCACTATAAGGTCTTCCGTGAAGACGGAAGACCTTAATAAGAAACAGTAGAATAACTATAAGGTCTTCCGTGAAGACGGAAGACCTTAATAATAATAAGAAACAGAGTAAAAACAATATGTTCCCCAACTTCGTTTGGGGAACATAATAAGAAACAGAGTAAAAACAATATGTTCCCCAACTTCGTTTGGGGAACATAATAAGAAACAGAGTAAAAACAATATGTTCCCCAACTTCGTTTGGGGAACATAATAATAAGAAACAGAGTAAAAACAATATGTTCCCCAACTTCGTTTGGGGAACATAATAAGAAACAGAGTAAAAACAATATGTTCCCCAACTTCGTTTGGGGAACATAATTATGATCTTAGCATCACCAAAGTGCAAGAAATGTATACTCGGTATTGCATTTAATAACTATGAAATATATACAAAGGCTAAAAATATTTTCAAAATTTTCATAAAGGTATGCAATTCTCCATATTAGTCCGAAATATCTTACCTTTTCAAAACTTTATAATTTTAACGATATATTTTAAATTTGACTATCAAAAAGAAAAAGAACTGGGAAAACGTCAGATATTTCGCACTATCTTCAGTAAATGCTACAATAGAAGAGATGATTTTCGGAAAGTCGGGCAAAACAGGAAATACAGATGAAGAAATGTGGACTCTTACCGTCTGACACGGCGTTGCCTAGGAGATACCTGTCTTCGTATGTACTGATCAGGTTCAGCTGACAACTCTTCCCGGTCTCTCGCTGCTGGCCTTGAATATTCATGAGTTGGTGCGAGTCCGATGGCGTCACTTCCACCGGAAGTAAATGCTTCTCAAGAATTTCATTCAGAGTTTGTTCTTTGCCACCTGGATAAGAAAAAAAATATCAGATTTAATTTGTTGGCAGGCATAACCTACACATAAGCCGGCTCCGTGATATTTCTCTTAAACTATCTTCGCAAATCAAAGGTTTACAGCCGCTTTGCTCTTTGTAGAGAGCAAAGCAGACTGAAAACCATTGGCTTGCAATGATGATCTTATGAATGTTTAAACAATCAGATCATTTGCTCAATATGCTGTTGGATTTGTGGATTATGCCAGTGTTCAAACCAGATGAAGATTTAAACAAGACGTGTTTGTGAAACATTATGCGCCCGGTGGCAACAAAGTTTGAAAAAACAATTTTTAGCAAATAGGTCACAGTCAATCTCACACGATCATTGTCCTTGGTGTCATTTGTAGGCACTTAATTAGTGGAGTATGCATACCAAATATGAAGTCTCTATCTCCTATGGTTCAAAAATTAAGGCGAAATTTCGAAAAAGCTATTTTCAGCATTAAAGTCACAGTCAAGGCCACAAGGTTATTGACCTTGGCATTATTTGAAATAGCGTAATCATCGGAGTATGCATACCAAATATGAACTCTATCTCCCATGGTTCAAAAGTAATGGCAAAAGTTCGAAAAAGCCATTTTTAGCATACAAGTTACAGTCAAGGTCACAAGGTCTTTGGCCTTTGTTTCAGTTGAAAGTGCTTAATTAGAGGTGTATGCATACCGTTATGAAGTCTATATCTCTCACGGTTCAAAAGTTATGATAAAGGTTAAAGTTGACAACAGACAGACAAACAGATAAACAGGCAAACAGACAGATAGGACAAAAACAATATACGCCCCGAATCTATTGATTCGGGCGCATCAAAAATTCAAGTCATTCCGTAATATACAGTATTTCTGAAGACTGTGCTTTAAAGGGAACATATATATAAAGCAGTAACGCTGGTCCACAACTCACTTTTCTTGCCGCCTTTCAGGGAGCAGAACTTCATTCCGTAGTCCACGGGGATACTGATTTCCCGCCCCTCCAGCACGGACAAGCCCCTCTCTACCTTAGCTACCACTCGCTTCTGGGTGGAGTAGGTGTGTATCCGAATTACCTTCAGATCAAAAAGGGAAAACGTTAATCTTATATAAATTACATTAAAGCCAGGCCTAGACAACAGAACACGAAACTTAAGATCATATGAATTTTCAGATAATGAAACGAAATTGACATGGTACAGATTATCTACATTCCCAATTCCCAGAATTCCCTACTATTCGGTCGAGCATGCGTGTTTCGGTAAAATTTATGTAGTTACACCAGCAACATATATTGCATGTACATGAAGTTATGGAATCCGGAAAGGGCCATGTAGTTCACTTGCTCGCCATCGCATAATCGCGGTTTGGGTCGATAGTTCGATAAATCGATGGTGCAATGAGGATGAAGCGATGGTGCGATAGTGAAGTACGGGGACCTTTCTGAATTCCGTGGGGGTTGATATTATTAAATATTTTCCTCCATAGAAAACAATTGTCCACAGCCGATGCACTCTTGATGGAACCAATTAAAAGAAAATTCTCATTAACTACCATATACGTAAAATACATCTAACGCAAAAAAGAGCTATGCTCAAATTATCAACTCAACAACGGATGAATATGCATAAAACCTGTGAAGAATAATATCTTATTGAATATATTCTAGTATACAATACGCCGAAACTGATAAAAAAAGACATTTTAAGACGTTTGGACTTCCTTACAATATTCTAAGATATCATTGACTGCAGACTTAAGATGTTAATTCACTAACCATTAACTGACCAATAACTGACATGTCCAATATTGAATTCCTACCACAATACTGAATTCTCCGTTAACTAACCAATTATTGACCTGTCCAATACTGAACTCCTCCCATTAACTGACCAATAACTGACCTATCTAACGCTGAATTTCTCTCATTAACTAACCAATAACTGACCTGTCCAATACTGAATTCCTCGTATTAACTAACTAATAACTGACCTGTCCAATACTTAATTCCTCCCTTTAACTGATCAATAACTGACCTGTCCAAAACTGAATTACTCTCATTAACTAACCAATAACTGGCCTATTCAATACTGAGTTCCCCTCATTAACTAACCAATAACTGACCTGTCCAATACTGAATTCCTCCAGTCCGATGTCCCCGCAGTAGCCCTGAGTGACCACTATTAGCTGAGGAAGGCTGGAGTGGTATCGGTCGTAAAACTCCTTCACCGTCAGATTATCATTGTTATGTTTGAAAGTCACCTTTGTCGCCATGTTCCTGCAAAGTAAATTTTTTTCTCTTGAGACTTTAGTCTTTTTCATCTTGCACAGTAGATATATTTATTTATGATTTGCTTATCGCTATCCAGTAGGGGGCCAGTAAACATGTACCGAATACTGATATTCATTTTAAAGATATTTAATCACTTTACGACAGGTATTTTTTCCTGATAGATATTTAACCTGCATTGTTTTATGAGCATATGATGACATATCTAAACTACGATTTACATTTATCATCTTTACATTTTAAAAATTTTCAATTAAAGATATAAATCGCTTCTCTTGATGTATATGTATTTATATATATTTTTTTAAATTGATAACAATTTTGGTTCTTCAAATAAAAAAAAAAAAGATAACGTAACCCCTGCATGACAACACAATTATGCATTAACATAGACTGTTCAAGACCCCTTATGCAATGCGTACAAAAGGCCCGTACGTAAGTTTGGACTCCCCCCCCCCCCCCCCGCAGATAAAAAACACAAAAATAACAAACTTGATAATGTTACTAAGTGCTGGTAATTGTGGTGGGGCTTTCCCACAACGTTTTGATATGTTTTTTTCTAGAATTTTCCAGTGTTCGGCCGTGGAAGAAGAATTAAGAGAGAGGGGCAAGCAGCATCTAAATGAAAATTTAAAACTACGGCAAAACACTTTAATTCCCAAAAAAGAGGAAGGGACCCTGTCTTCCTTACCCCTCCCTACCCTTCTCAAGACCTCTGCGAAAAACTACTTCACGTATATATCATACAAACAAAAGTCATGTAATATTTATGCATTTAGAGTGATCTGCCTTTATAGAGTAATACAAAATAAAGAAACTAAGAATCTACAACGAATTTACTGGTAATCAATCCAATTACTTTAGGTATATAGACCCAGATAAGTATTAACGCTTAATTCTTTACTATGTATGTGTTTTCGCCACTCAAATAATTTACAGAGATCTCCTTAAACAGTTCATTAATAGATCTTTTTAAAACAACATTTTTTCTTACAATAATATAATTAAGCGGTTAATCTTTTCAGAGAGAGAGAGACAGAGAGAGAGAGGGTTATTGGTTGCAGAGTATTTTTAACCCTGCTCTAATACAAAAAGAATACCAACAGGTATATCAAAACATGGAATGCAGATAAATTCTAACCTCTATTTCTTATCAACAGTAAGTAGAAAACTATTTAATGCATCATATTAAGCAAATTCCTCCTGTATCATTAGAAATATGACCCATCGTAGCCTGAAGTTAATTAATAATTACGTAATTAACCAGGTAAACAGAGTAAACACCTTACCTGTCCCCTTCTAATCTGCGTCTTACGAACCCGGAAGTAAAATCCCTCCTTTTGTTCAAATTATAAATACCCGGTACCTGAATGGGGAATTATACGCACCAAGTCTGAATGTCGTAATATCAGGCGTAAAGGACTTCATTCAGATAGCACGTTTATAAAGAAATTCATTTATTTTAAAAGTAAGATTTAAACAGGTTTGACATGTTTGATGTGGAACGCCAGTCCCCTCATGCTATATATGTACATACAGTGGTTCAAAATATCGGTAATAGGGATAGGGGCAGCTAAGATCATTGCATCAAATTATCTTTTTTTTAAATGTCTGCATGACATAATGCACATATTCATAAATATAATTGTTTATAAGAAGAACTAAAGGTACTGTGAGTAATGATTTCACAATATGATACCCTCGCTTCCCATATGAATATATAATGGCAGTGTCCATGGGGAATTAACCAAAATATGTGTTGGATCAATAAGTAAAATAGGAGGTCACAATAACAAAATATAATAAAGAGTCTGTCAAAGTTTCATCAAATTTCATTAAGAGGTAGACAGGAGTTGAGAGATAAGAGATGGATACCCTAAGGCGTAACAGACGGACGGACATACCGATTACTATATACCTTCCCGCTTTTCAAACTGGGGTATAATTAACTGTTTATTTTGTAAAAATGTTTAAATATTACATTTCTGTATACAGATGTATATGGGGATTTAATATTTATTAATACTATTCTCTTTAGAATCAAAATTACATGTACGTCTCATTTAAAAATGTCGCATGGACGTTTTCCCATGTGCAGTAAAATTTCTAATAATGTAAACTTAGTTAATTAATATCATAAAATGAGGGTTTGTCAGCTCCAACACAAATTACCAGGGTTGAGTTTTAAATTTTAAGTTTAAATTGGGTTTATGTGGATTGAGTTCTCAATTCCCCGGAATACCTGCAATAATTGACTAGTTTTGCACATGGTTACAGTACATCCTAATGAAAACATCACTGTGCATGCATATAATTTATTTACTCACGACCAGCAACATTCTCCGCCCCCTTTTTCCTGTCCCCTCATGATAACTATCACTGACCCTGTCTCCAGATAAGTCCATGTATCATTCTACCATGATTAATATGCTGGCCAAGCAATGACACGTGTCCAAAAGAAATAAAAATTGAGGAAACATTATGCATGATGTGCATTCATTTGAATAATTGTTGAATAAGGTTTCAGATAAAATTTTCCTTTTTATTTCACTGAATTTATTTTTAAATTATAAACATCCTTGACAAATTGGCGTTACTCCTCCTTCCTTTCTGAGATGAACACTGACAAAGTTCTTTAGTTTGGAGCATTTTGGGGCACGCCACAATCCTTGGTTTATGCGTAAAAGGAAACTTTTTTACTGTCCATAGGCGTCGGAACCGTGGAAGGGGGGAGGGGTAGGGACGCTTGGCCCCCGTTTTTTTTTTCAAATATATACGTAATATGCAAATCATGCAATCACGCGAAAACGTGTAGGTAAAATTATAGCGGAAAATTATTCCGCTATAACCTGCACATGGTGCTTTGGACTGTCAACTTATTTGCTACTGAAAAGCTTGCCCCTAGTACGAACAATTTAACAGGGACAGACTACTTACATTTAATTTTATGTAACAGGGATTTCAATAACCTACAAGTAGTTTAAAAGTCAGAATTTTGTAATTTATTTCCTTGTTCAGCAAGAAATGCCATATAAGGTCATACGCCTCAAAGACACCTGATCCCATGTACCTCTGGAATTTCCGAGTGTCCGTGTTTATGTTTTTTGGCTTTTTTTTTTGGATACTTTATGAATCAATTTTTCTTCACATAAGATATTTAACTCGCGTTTGCCCAGAGATTGCGTTATGATAACTTTTCGCGTGATTGTATAATTTGTATTTTCTCATTTCCCTCCATACCCTTTTTAATTTTTTTTAAATTAATGTAGCTGTTTTTTTCAAATGCAAGTCTGTTAAATGATTGATTTTGTTTCATTATGCAAACTTTGGCGGCCGATTCAGCTACTAAAGTTTATATATAATAATAGACTCAGAATATTGAGTACTAGTACATGTATATGAAATCCGCCTACGGATTTTTTTTTACTATGCAGGGAAACTACTTACAACAGATATATTTCTGATTTTTTAAAAGGATTTCTGTGCCCTGGTATGTATTTTGCATGTCCAAATCTCATTAATATCGAAACTATTAATATTCATGGAATTAAAAAAAAGATAAAATAAAAATAAATAAATGTAGTCAAACTTACATGTACAATTTATTTTTTTAAAATAAAGAGGTACATACATGAGGCATCTCTGATGCATGTAGCTGCATACAGCACAATAACCAATGTCTCCAAGTATACATGTAACTACACTGTAACAATGAGAAAATGATTTTGACATCCCCTAGATTGGAATATTATATCTTTCAAAATTTGTCTTCAAGACTTTTAATAAGAGGCAAAATTGCACATAAAATGTCCATTGGTCATTTTCTCTCTATTGGACACTCAAGTTCTTCACATGGTACAATATGTCATACAAACACAGGTATACATGTATGTATCTTGTACGACACAAGTACCACACACATGAAATTCATACACTCTTGATGTCCTTTTGGCATGCACAGTTTCTCCCTTCTCTGAATTCTTATCAGCATTGTTTGTTTCTGACTAGAAACTATACAGCGTTTTCTCTGCACAATAACAGTCTTGCTGACTAGGTCCTTTCTATCCTTACTTAATTTAAATCTGTGCCAGTTGAATTTTCCTGTGGTCAGTTTTTTCCAGCATCACTAATCTGCGAGCATTAAGGAACTAATGTCACTCAAAGATTTCTTATTGGCATTATCCATTTTTTTTCTTCAAAAGAAAATTAGAATTTGAGATATCAAGAAGTCATAACAGAGTTGTGGAAAACTTTTTCAGATAGCCGGTCATTCGGACCGGCAAGAAAACAAATTAAGCCGGTCCGAAGTGATTTTTGTCAGTCCGAAATAGTAAGTCGCAAAATGAAAAAAAAAACAAACATATTTATTCACTTAATAACAAATTTTTTTAATAAATCATGTTCACCATGTTAATAATGATACAAAAATTCAGTCTCCATTTCCAAGTCCTCTTCCGTTTTCTTTTAATTTTGCATTCATAAATAACAATACTAGATATCACCGCTTTTGGGCAGGTCGCAATGCTCATTCAGCATAGTGAACATAATTTTTAAAAAAACATTTATGCATTTTGGAATTATATTAACCTAGATTAGAAAATTGGTCTAGAAATTGCAAAAATTCTTTGCATCGATAAATAAAGATATCAACACGATCGGTAAAAAAAAAAACGAAAATCATACAAAGAAATCTTCTTACTGTATGATTATTATCCAAAAATGTTTCAAAACCAATCAGAAATATTCCACTTCTTTTGTAACATTAATGCCCTTTAGCTGCATGTCTTTTTTCTTATATCTTATGTTTCTGCTTTGACTACAATTCAAACTATGATCTTGCATCCATAGTAACTTACAGTCTGACTTCCCTAAGCCAGCCCCTACTATTTCATTTCAACGAAGTGAAATAGTAAGGGCTGGCTTTAGTCAGACTGTGGTATAACTTAGGTTTTAAAGGTAACCTTAACCCTGAATTAAAGATGTATTTTAAGATCTAGAGTGAACATATAAAAGAACTATTTTTACTGACAGTTTTATAAGGATACGGTTTGAGCTGCTCTGCGAAATTTTTGATGTCTTCCCCGACCCCCTCCTGACCTGATGACGTCACCACACTGAGTTCTACCAGATACGAGGGACAGATGGACTCGATCGAGTCATTAGTCGTGGTACCTGGCTGATTCATCTACACAAGGTAAATAAAAAATAATCAGTGTTAGAAGCAAACTTAACTGAAAGAAAAGGCTACTTGTATTTTTTGAGAATTTCAAGCAAAATTTTCCTATCAAATATGACGAAAACCTGCTTCGTTCACTAATCTTATGTGCCATTTTACATATATGTATATTTAAAGCTTAACTCCATTCTTGCCAAAAAAAAAATTAATCTAAATTAAGATTTAAAAAAAAATTAAGAGAAATTAATTAAAAATTATTTGTTGCTAACAATCACATTCATGTACAAATTTTTTTTTCACTTGAATGAGATTGCTACAAAATATAAATCCGATTTTTTTTTTCATCTTTTATCATAAACAGTCTTCCTCCTCTTTACCTTGTAAAACTTTGACACTGTAATCTTCATTCTTCCTTTATGGAAATAAAAACCTTTCACAACAAATTCATGGTCAATTCTGATAAAAGAAAATATTAAATAGAGTTACAAGGGATGGTTTGCTTATTTTTCCTTGTAATACTAGTCCAACTTTCCTTAATTCAAATAAATATTATCTGAAGCCTGATATTAATGTGACAATGGGAAATGCATGTGAAATTCTTACAACTAAAGATCAACACCACAAAACAATTATACATGACTTTTACAACAGTGTTAATTATTTTTTTATTAAACAATTAAACCCAATTCAAGATTCACAAAAAAATGTACGATTTTACCGATATAAAAGGGAATTCGAACTACACCCATCTAAATTATATTAGTGTAGATGCAATCTCATCAACTTTTGGAGGGGGGTTTCTGTCTCATTAAAACTAGCTCCACATTTTCATTCATATTTTTTTTATTGTTCCTCAATGAAGACCTACAATTGGTAGAATAAATATGGCAACTAAATTATTTTAATCTTATCATTAAGGAAGTGTCTCGAGAATCAAACAGAACTTCCTCATATAATCCATATATACATAAAGTATATAAACAAGTATCATAACCTAATCCTGATATAAAATCTTTTCCAAATCAGGTACTACTTTAAAATGAATGTGTTGTTGGTTGATAAATTAAACCTGTGCACATTGTTAGATGTTGGTCAGTCTATCTAGAGTATTTAGAATATT